GAACTGCGAGGTTGGCAGAAGCTGGGACAAGGAACGGTACCTCACCCCATTACACGGCACTAGGGGTTCGAACCTCCAGTTATGGTGGTCTACAAATACAGGCAGTTCTTAATTTACGATCAATTAATTTACTAATAGAGCCCAAAACCTCTGTTGCTAAGTGAAAAACATTTGTTAAGGGAATTTAGCCCTATTTTATGACCTTTCTTGCCACTGTTGTTAAGTGAATCACTGCAATTGTTAAGTTATTTAACACGGTTGTTAAGGGAATCTGGCTTCCCCATTGATTTTGCTTGTCAAAAGGTTGATCAAAAAGTGATCACATGACACAAACCCCTGGGACACCTCAACGGTCATAAATATGAATCCGTTGCCAGGCGTCTGAATTTTGATCGCATTTTGAACCTTGGGGATGCTACGACGGTCATAAGGGTGCGGAAAAAACCGGTCACAAGTAACTTTTTTAAAATACCATTGTAACTTTGAATGGACATTAAAGGAACTGTTGTAAGTCGAGGACTGCCTGTAATCAGGGGTGGTATTCACTTATCTTTCCTACTGCTTCGCAAATGAGAATGTGGATGCACCTCCGCACATGTGCTCCGCCTTCCGCGCATGCGCTTTGGGCAAAAGAAAAGGGCCTAAATGGAATGCCATAGAGCAGTGGCGGGTGGGTGAGGCCACCCGCGATTTCCATTCGCGTGAACCAGTCCGAATTGGTAGAATACCACCTCTGCCTGTAATGTGTTTTTTTTTTCTTACCATGGAAGTAAAGCTAATCTGCATGTCAGGGAGCCTATGGAACAAATAAGAAATATTGTTCAGAAATTCCCAATGCCCCTCCCTTTAAAGGGAACTCGGTAGAAGGAAGCCATTATGTAGATCAGGGGTCTCTAACACCTGGGCAGAGCGTGTATGCACAGTTTCACTTGCACGAGTGGCGGGTGGGAGCGGGTATGCACGCAGCCCCACTTGCACGAGTGATAGGCGCACATACTTGCTTGCAAAAGCCCATTTGTGTGAGTGGCGGGCACACACCGCTTGTGCAAATGGAGCTGTGCGCACGAGCACACATGCCTGCCATTCACACCGAACCATCCCCTTCTCCCCCCAGCCCCTCTGGCCACAGACCGCTGATGTAGAACATTTCTAAAACTGGAAGGGAAAAGGATAAGTAAAAACGAGTTCAAATGAATTTGAGTTTCAGTTTGAGAGGGGAGCTGTTGAAACAGATGCCCTCTGGGTTCCTCTGGGGTTACTCCCCATTCCAAGATCATCCTTAGGCAAACACCCCCACCCCACCCCGATTGCTACCTCACTGGGAGACTTCCAAGGAACAGAAGGGGAAATGTGGTTGGCTAACATTCAGTCTTTATTTCATTAAGTTTTGAATCTATTTAAAGGCGTGATTGGTATTTATAGCATTGATGACTTCGTTAAAACTATGGCACATCCATATATCTTCATTTGAAAGTCAAGTCTTTGATTTGACAAAAAGAAAAAAGACGCACATTATGCAGAAGCTTTGGACAAATGAGCACCAGTGAATTTGCTTTTGATCTTTACTGTCTAATTGAATACAAGGACAAGCAATCTGTCTACTAATGAGTAAATTTTATTTGGGTTGCTAGGGTTTCCACCCCCCCCCCTTCGGAATAACCCAATTGCAGTTGTATTTGTGCAAGTTGACCACATTTGGACCCTGTGGGTTTTTGTTTTTTTTTAAGGTGGAAAGAGCAGCGGACCAGAATTCGTGGTGAATCAGTTCCCAAGAAGCAAATGCGCCAACGTAATGGCAGAAAAACATAAAGTGGACACTTTTTCTTCTTCTAGTTTTCCCAAAACCTGTCAG